ACACTTTCCAGCAACCGTACACCTAAGTTCTACGGCAGGCCCGAGGCCTCTCGTAATCTATGCTTTCAGAAAGCATGCCGGGCCACAATTCAGTTCCCCTTTAAGTGAACGATTCCGGATAACAGGCTAAGAAGTATGTACTGACCAGTTACCAATCGATCAAACAAGGTCATCGTGGAATAGGTTAAGCAACGTCTTCATCAACTTTCATGCAATCGTAAAAGAATGTTGCAAAGCAGTCCCACAAGTTCCGTTCCACCTTCTATTAGGGGTGAAGCGGGCTTACAAGAAAGCCACATGCTACTTGCACGCCTCATTAGTAGTATCCGCTGTTATACCGGTTTTAATCACATGTCGTATCATTTGTACGTTCCGAGGAGCAACAAACAAGTGTGCCATATCTTATGGTGAAGGTATGAATGCAAACCTCTCCTAAAAAGCGTGTATTTTACTGGAATATTAGCCACTGGCTGTTGTTCGACTTCCGCTTGATCAACGACCGATGAGCCCACCCGAGTTATGCCGATTTCAGCACTTTTTCAGCTACCAGTCAGGAGGTCGCGGGTTTGAGACTCTCGGGACTTTTGTGAGATGCGCACCGCCGATGATTCCCAATAAGGATAAAACGGCTGTACAGTGTTTCTCGGCTTTTCAGTATAGATTGACTTCACTTACAGAACGAAACCTCCACAGATAAAGGAATGCACTGTGTGTCACGTGAGTTGCAAACCAAGCAGATCTACTCCAAAAGAAAAGGGACACATTTCTCCATTCTAGTCTGTAAGGTGTATGCCACTGGACATATCTACTGTCGACACTTTGTCCCTGATGTAGATAGGGTTTTACTGAAATATATCCCCAAGCGCTTTTTTTGAAGGGCTTATAACGTCCAAAAATTTTACGCATTTCCTGCAAGCCCATGTAGTTTAATATCATTTTCGGTTTCTTTCCTTATCAGTAGATTTCGGCTACCGTCCTGTGCTATTTGTTCCGGCTACAAGGACGGAGTAATCGATTGTCTTGGTTTGCAGTCTTTTTTTGAATTCACAATGATTATTGGTTCACTTGGGCGTTTCGTCTCTTGACTCTTTACTTTTAAACATTTCGAAAAGTCTGTAGGAACACAACAGCTGTATTCCGAACAGGCGAGTGCGAGGATATGAGTGCGAGCGAGTGTGAAAGTAAGACGGTCTCAAGCTATTTATTGGAGGGACACTGTCTGAACTTGGTCCAATGCTGACTCACGCGGTCAGGCTTTGGTACGAGGCTGTGACGCGCTGCATATTGCGGGGGCGTTGTCTGACATTGATCAACGCCGATTCTCGCTGCCTTTGAAGTACCGCATGCTGAGAGGGCAATGTCTGTCTGGTCAACATCTAGCGGAGCTGAGTCTCAGCGGATTTCGGGCATTCAGTGGTTGTTTTCAGGAATCTGGCCTTGCTAATACTCATTCCAAATGGCTTTAAAACATAACCGCTGATGTCGTGATCATTTTTGAATCCACATTGGTCAAGTAATCAGTTTCCGAGTTGGTGATGTTCTAATCTGAACAAGCGGAGTTTGATTCCAATGGAGAAGGATACCGTTCTCTCTGCACCTTCGGATTCTTGATATGCAAATTCGGGCATTGCATCCCGTGTTCAATACCCCGATTTTTTGCGCGGTTTCACATGTTTGAAGAAAAAACAGATTTTCTTCTATCCTAGACCCTCAGGTTATTCGTTGCTGGCAGTGAGCCTACTGCTCCCTATATTAATCAGTACATCAAAAGTCACGTGTCCAACGTTTCCCTGTTAATTTCGAAATTTCATAAACGGTCTCGAATTCTAATATAAAGGCAAGACGTCAGACTACTTCAGCGAGAACCACGACACACCGTATCACCGTCACCAATCATATATGGCCGTCTACCTGGTAACCGCATTTCTGTTCACTCCAACCAACAAACGTGTTTTTTTTT